GGCAGGCTTTCAATAGTTTCAATAGTCTTGACAGTTTTGGCAAGTTAGCGATAACTGTAGCTTTTTGGGCAGGAGAAGCTGCATGCGAACCCAGAGCCTTTTTGTGGCTTAGTGCGAGGTGCTAGGGCGCCATGCCACATGTGTTCCGTGTCGTGCTGGCAGTTGCTGCAGCGCATCGCGGAGGCGGGTGGCTCTTCGACTATGGCAACGCGACCGACCACGCCAAGGGCGACCCAGGAGGCCAGGAAAACTGGTCGGGGTGGGCGCAGCTGCGGGCTTGGGCAGATGAGCGTTTTCCAACCAGTGCAGGGGTGAAAGGGGCCTGGGATTCCTGGTTCGACTGGTCTTCAGCGGGCTCTTCGAGTTCAAAGGCTTGGTCGTGGGACAGTGGCCTTTGCATGGTTCTGGATACTGTTGTAAGCTTTGTTGGCTGGGCTCTGTTTGGAAGCGCCTGGCCAAATGTTCGTACTGTCACTGCTGCTACTCTTGTGCCTTGGAGCACACTACTTGTGGGCCCTGTGTTGGCCCGTCATATCACTCGCGACCTTCCTGGTGATGGGCTTGGTGTGGGTGATTCGTGCCCTCGTTCGCAAGCTTGGAACTTTAGTCTACTGGGCGCAGAGGGCGGCCGGTGGTGTCCCGGAGGCCGCAGGAGCTGATTTCATTGGGCCGGGCACCGGGCGGATCCCTGAGACGGCAGATTTGAGGCTCTTCAAGTCAACAGCCGGGGTCGACAAATGGGCCCTCGTTCGTCGCGAAGGGCACGTGGCTGTCTTCAAGATCGGAGCAGACAATCAGACCATACGCTCCCCAGGGCTCTTCGTTCCCATCGAGGCCGACACTTTGCGAGGGAGCCCATGTGTGGTAGATGCCTGCCGTGGGGTGGATAAGGTCTCTGCCGGCATCTTGTTTGTTCCGAGGAGGGCCAGCACTTTAAGGAGTACGCGGTGGCTCGCGACTTCGACGCGGAGAAGTTCCACCTCAAGACTTCCGAGCTGGAGGCAACCAAGGCTGGCAAGACTTTGTGGGCGTGGCTGTGGTCCACCTCTACCAGGCCGGCGGAGCGGGCTCGGGAGTTCGGGTCTGAGTCGGAGACCGATACGAAACCCTGCGGGGCTCACCGCGTCAAGTGGGTCGATCGTGATGGAGACCATCGGCTTGTCGGGGCACCTTGCAAGCTTGGCGGGACCAACGTGTGCCCGCTGTTGGTGGAGGACCGCCTGGACGAGGCAGGGGAGGTGGCAATGTGCCCCCAGCATGCCTTCGACTACGAACGAAGGAGGCGGGTTCAGAAGTGCTTCGCGGCCGGATGCTCACATGCCGGGATCGAGGACGATGAGGATCTTCGCCGGTGCCGTTTTCATCCTGCCTCAAGGAGAACTTCGTTTCGGAAGAGATCGCCGGCGAGGTCGGACCCAGGTGACGGTGACGATCCTGAGGAACCAGAGCTTCCTCCCCGAGGGCATCCTCCCACGAAAGAGATCAAGCGTCTCCTCGACGAGATTCGCACCGAGGTCGGGGCGGCAAAGAAGGCAAGGGACAAGTCCCCGGGCGGCACCCCGAAATCCAGCATCCAAAAGAACTTGGCCAAGCTCGGGCTGCTGGATTCTCCTCAGCGCGAACACCCGCTCTCCATTCTGGAGGAGTTCTTCAACCAGTTCGCGGAGGGCAAGGAGATGGGTCTGACGGAGGAAGGTGTACGAGCCAACCTGCGGTGGAGCGCGGCATGTCGTTGAAGGAGATCACTCAGGGGCTTCTGAAGCAGGCCCTGGAGGAGCAGGCTAAGGGCCAGCGGGGCTTGTCGAAGTTCGTGAGGGCCTGGCAGCAGTCATCAACCCGCACCTCTTCTCCGTCCAGCTTGACTCGCGGCAGTTCGGTGCCCTCTTGGGAGGTTGTGGACTCGCCGGATCGGGCCCTACCTGTTGCACCGCCCGGGCCTCCACCAGCTCTTCGAATCAGTAACCCAGGCATCTACGGGGTGGAGGATCGCAAGGCGGGCGCAGTGGAGGGTGCATCTTCTTTCGAGTCCATCGCCAAGGCCATTCAGTCCCAGTCGGCGGAGATTGCTTCCTTGGTGAAATCTCACGCGGAGAGCGCGGCACTCCCGCCCGGCACGGTGAAGGGGCTCAACAGGACCTCCGAGGAGCTCGTCTTCCTGCTCCGGGCGTGCAATCAGTACCACGCCGTCGTCGGGGCAGGGGAGCAGGGACAGGCCTTGGCGAACGCTTTGTTGTCAGCTCAGGTTGGGGCTTCCACGAAGCTGAGGAAGGCCGGCTTCAAGCAGAAGGTCACGACCCGTCTCGTCGTGGGTTTGGCGGGACCTTACTGGGGCATCTCCGAGAAGCACTCGCTGGCGGCCGCAGACTTTGTCCCGCAGACCGATGCAGAGCTGGACGCCTACGTGATGGAGATCCGCGCAAACAAGACGGGCAACGACCAAAGGCCCCCGCCCCCTACGAGGCTGGAAGATTGGGAAGGGCGAGTTCGTCGACAGAACGACGTTTGGTCGTTAGTCTATGGGGCAGAGTGGAAGCCGGTCCGTGGCCACGCCTTGGAGCTTCTTCTGGAATGGCATCAAGGAGAGCCTCACAAGTGGCCCCTCACCGTCATCATGGAGGTGTGGGAGGAGTTGCACTGGCGGTTCTTCGAGGAGCTCAAGGAGACCCTGAGGTTGCTGAAGAAGGAAGCGGGCCGGGAGACGATGTCGTTGCAGGACTTGAAGTTTCATGCGTTGCTGCCGAACTCGAGTGGTACTGCGTGGCTGGAGCTGCCAAGGACCTTTGATCTTCGCAGGCCCGACGGCTGGTTCTCGTCAGAGGTGCTTCCGCGCATCGAACGACGCCAAGAGCGTATGCTGTGGCGCCTCACCTGGGAAGGGGGCCGCGGCGGTAAGCCTACAGGCTCAGCCCACGCAGGTGGCGACACAAGGCCCGACCCGGCAGCGAAGCCCAACCTCCGAAACCTTTGGGGCCCAAAGCTTACGCCGGAGGAGGTCAATCGGGCCAAGGAGCGCGCGCCCCTCGATAAGGAGGGCGTATTGCTGTGCTGGGGGGCTCTCACGCACATGGGCTGCAACAACCCGTCGTGCCAGCGATCTCATGCGGACTTGCAGGGAAAGTTCGAGACGTTGGAGCCGTGTGTCCAGATGCAGTTGCTTCGGCGCGGAGGACTTCGGCGCATGAAGTGCGAGACCCGGGAGAGCGTCGCAGAGAAGATCAAAGCATTGAGGGCCGGCGTGGTGAAGGACCGGGCCAGCAAGCTGGAGGGTCGGAAGTCAGGGCAGGCTACGGAAGCGGAGGATAAGCCAGCGAGTACTCGTGCAGGTGGCGAGGCGGCCGTGCCCATCGAGATCCCCGCGGAGTTCGGCATCGTGGATTTCACTACCGCTGAGGAGGAGCTACGTGAGGCTTTGAAGGGGCCCGATGCGTGCTGGTTGGAGGCTGTCGACAACCCGCAACACGTCCTTGAAGCCGCCAAGGGTGATTCAGCGCCCCAGCAAGCTAAGGACCTTGTCGCAAAGGCGGAGGGCATGCTCGCGGGCCCAGTTTTGGGTCACCTGCAGGAGGCGTCGGACGACTTGTTTGCGTGGGCCGCCACCCGAGCTGCGCAGGCCCCTGAGGCCAGCTTGGAGGAGATCCTGGGCGACATGGCCACCTACGGCTTGGGGGACCTGGCGGCGGAGGCTTCGCGCATCCTGGAAGCCAAGTGCGAGCACAGGGCAGGCTCCGTGGGGGGCATCGTGGTCTCAGATATCGTTTGGGAGCCTGGCCAACCCGGGCGAGGAACAGCGGTCATTGAGGGCGCCACCTGGACGGTTTGGGACTACAAGGAAGAGGTCCTCATGTCGGACGAGTTGGCAGCAATGCTTCGTCAACCGGAGGAGGGCGTGGAGCGACGCCAGTGCGTGACGAAAGCAGTCGCAGCCGGTGTGGTCTGGAGGTGTTTGGCGAGGAGGCCCACCATTGCCGAGGTCGACGAGAAGTCGCTGTGCTTGCGCCTGGAGCAGACGCGTCAGGCCTTGGAGGCTCTAAACATGATGGGCGAGCCGGCCCCAAGGGTCGCACCAATTGAGGCCGAGATCCGGGTCTACACCCACGACATCGTCAGGGCCAGCCACGACAAGGACTTTCGGTCGCTGGCGGTGTTCCCGTTGCAGGAGCTGGAGGACTGCAAGATGATCGTGATCCGGGCTGACTACAAGGGCGACGTGGTAGTCGAGACGGTGACCGGGCCCTTATGGCAGCCCAATGGGTGGACTTTGTGGACGCTTATTTGGCGTGGTCATATGGTCTACCTCGAGCCCCCGGAGTCCCTGGAGGCGAACACGTTCTTGGACCGGTGGCAGCCCTACGATACCCCCGCCCTGGGTTTCCTCTTCTTCTGGCATTCTCGTCACGACCAGGAGCCGACCGCTTCGGGTGCAGTGTCCTGTCGCCTTTGCAAAGGACGCAAGGCTGGCGACGTGGTGTGTTCACTCCGACGTGACAGCAACCTTGCGGCGGCAGCCATCGTCGGGTGCATCAAGGCCGGCGCGCAACCACTTCGAGATCCAGTTTGTGTCCGGGGTCCTCACTTGTGCCTCCAGGAGGTGTTTGCGGGTTTTGGGGTGATGACCAAGGCGTGGGCGGCTGCGGGCCTCAGGGTGATGACGCCAATTGAGGTTTGTGCGGACCCCGCCACCAAGAGTGGCTACCGCGCTGAGCATGACGTGTCTTTGCCCGAGGTTCAAAAACGTCTACTTTACGCGGCCAAGGACGGGCAGGCCAATGTGTGGTGGCTCGCACCCCCGTGCACGAGCTTCTGTGACTGGGGGCTGGAGAACGGGGGGACGCGGACTTTCAAGTTTCCGACGGGGGGCACGGAGGATGCACCCCCACTTGACTCCGAGATCACAGGCAACATGTTGAGCAAGGTCGCGGCCGAGATCTTCTTGCAAGCGCTTCGCGGAGGCGGCTTTCCCATTGTCGAGTCGACGGCGCGATCCGGCCGCTACCCCAAGATGTGGGACCTACCATGGTGGAAGGAGATCCTGGCCCGCCCGGATGTTCAGTTTGTGGAGTTTCCTATGTGTGCCTTTGGGTTGGGCCCCGAGGACGAGGATGGCTACTACCACCACCGCACCCGGGTCGCTTTTCGGAAGTGTGACACGCTTGCAGCGGCGCTCTCGCGCAGGTGTCCTGGCGTCGGGGCGGCTCATCGTCATGTACCTCTTCGCGGCAACCGGAAAGGCTCCTTGCTGTCCCGCTGCGCTGAGGCTGGCCGCTACTGCCCTGAGTTCACGCGGGTGGTGGTGTCGACCCTGCAACAGGTTTTGGTTCCGGGGGGGGGAGAGGACAGTAGCATTCTTGCGAATGGCGCGCCACAGGAGGAGGAAACTCGCGCCGGAGGCACACACCGCAGTTTCGACCACTTGCACCACCCGAGGGATTTGGGCCACTATGCTGGCTGGCTGGATGAGCTGGACGGCGTGGAGGACGTTTTCACCTATGAGGACATCCCGACCTCCGGGGTGTTGGGACCGTGGTCGGCCGAGGACACGCGCGCAGGAAGCATGGAGTACCACGCCCCGTCGGAGCAGGCCAAGGCAAAGGCCAAGCATTACATCGACCTCGCGAAGAAAGGGGGCCCCGGAACGCTACCTGGTCAGTTCCTTTGGGTTTTCCGGGTCGCCGGGCGAGTGGACTGTGTGGGGAAAGGCCACGGAGGAGTTTCTACGAAGTCATCACCCCGTCTGTCCGCGGAGAGATCTCAGCTGGGGCTTTGAGAGCCGTATTCTAGTCGACGACAACGTGCTGGTGGAGCCGTGGATAGGTCTGCGACCGTGGGTCGCCGGCGAAGTCTACGAGGCCGGTGTGAAGCTCATGCTGGGCGAAGCCGCGGTGAACAGGGAAAAGGATCTTGTGGAGGGCCCTTTTCGCACTTTCCAGACGGTCTGGGGTTTGGACATGGACACGGCCACCGAGGAGATCCACCTTCCAGAGCGGCGCATCCTCAAGGGGGCCAACCTTCTGTGCGAGGCGGCTTTCGAGTACGGCTCCAAGGACCTCACGGTCAGGATGCTCCAGCGCTTCCGAGGGATCACCACGGGATGGACGGTCATCGCGCGCGGCCTCAAGAACGAGCTCAAGGCCGCAGACCGGTTTCTGGGCACGGAGAGTGAGGGAGGCGCCCGGGTGAGACCAAAACTGGCCGTGCACGACGATGCCGAGGAGGAGGACAACGCTTGGCGCGATCTGTGGGAGCTCTTCGAGGAGGTGCGTTGGCTTTGCACCCGACCAGAGACCTGGCCCACGAAGTTTGGCGCGGGCTTGAAGGAGTTGTTGCCCCCTCGGGAGCGGTTAGCCTTGGCTGGCGAGTGGGATGCAGGGACCGTCTTCGTGTCGTCGGATGCTACCAAGGTTAAGATCGCGGCGATCGACTGGACCAATGGTGTGGCTATGCGAATGTCGGCTGCCAGTGCCGCCGCTTGGGTCCAGCGATGTCAGGAGGGGGACGAGATCGCCATTCACGTCGCGGAGATGTTGTCTTTCTTGGCTTTCGCTTGCCATTTGGGGCCTCGATGGAGCGGCAGAGTGGTGCTGTATGGTGGCGACAATAAGATAGTCCGGGAGTGGATGGCCAGCCGAAAGGCCAGCACCGCAGTGGGACGCTTGCTGGTCAGAGTACTGAACCTGCTTGAGATGAGGTTTCGCTTCAACTTGCTACCGGCTTGGTGGCGGACCTACCACAACATCCACGCGGACTTTCTGACGCGATGCACAGATGCAGAGTTCTCAGAGCTGGTTCGTGAGAAAGGTTGGGAGGTCGTCGATGTCAAGCAGGCCTTGCAGCAGGCGGTGGTCGACTCAGAGCGTTTCGGCCCGTGCCTTTTGGCCTGGCACGGGCCGATGAGGACCGTCAGACAATCATGCAGCTGAAGGAACGCCGGCTCCAACGGGCTATTCCGCATGCACTGCAGCCACGGTGGGCCACTCTTCGGTTTGTGGAGCTGTGCGGCCCCAGTCGCTTGGTCGCCGACTTCTACGACGCGGTGACCGCTGCAGGGGGGCAAGCGAGGCGAGCCCCAATGAAGGGCCCGGTCGAGCGGGATGAGATCGCCATGGTGTCGATGCCTCCGGACGTGCAAGGCCAAGCTGTGGAGGCAGTCGTTCATGCTGGAATCCAAGGTCCTGCAAGCTTGCTTTTGATGGAGGGCCCGCGCGGTGTGAACTGGGACCGAGGTGTGGAGCTACTGGAACAGGCCGGGTGGCGCTACGACCTGGCGGAGTTCGTGACCACTGAGTTCGGCGAAGTCGCGGCGAGGAGGCGAGTGTGTTTGCTCGCGTCCCCGGAGTTTGACCTCGACGGCGCCTTTGGGGCTACTACCTGCCGGGGCATCTTGGGCCCCCCGATGAGTTCCGCCTTGAAGCCCACTCGTTTGGTGAGTCAGGAATGCTGGCTCTATCCGGAGCGGATTGTCGTGGACGCGGGGATCCCGCGCGAGCCTCTGCTTCCCTTTCTGAAGGGGCACTTTTGGCATGATGGCCAAAGGTTCAACCTGGTGAGCACTGGCGGCCCTCTTCGATGGCCTTTGAGAGAAGGAGAGGGCGTTCAAGAAAGCGTGGTCTGGGATGCACGGGGGCCACCAGGTGCTGTTCGACGTCTTTTACCTGAGGAAGTCTGGGCGTGCCAAGGCCGGGCCGTGGAACGCTGGAATCAACTGCGAGCAGAGGATGTACCCGCGGGCCGCTTGCTGGCTGAAGGTGCTCGGGCAACCGGGGGGCAAACAGCAGCGGCCCTCACCTTTTGGCAGCGTACTTGGCTGGCGACGGTGTCAAAGCTGGTGGCACCCGCGACCCCCAGGACGATGAGAACTTGTGCAAGTTGCTCAGCTGGCTCAGGAGATGGAAGCGAGGCCTCTTCCCAAGGCGCGGGGATGATCGTCGCGCAGGAGGAGATGAGTGTGGTGGGACACCCCACCATCAGAGCTGTTGCGATGTGGACAGGTGCCCGCAGGACCATCGAGGATCGGCCTGTCAGGGACCTTCGCCAGTTCGACCGGATGTCTGGCGGTGGGGCGAAGCTTTGTGGCTGTCGGACTCCAGCGACGAGGACGAGTTCGTCGTGGAAGGCGGGCAGGAAGCTGGGCGAGCCGGTGGGCGCAAACCCGCCCGACGCGAGAAGGCCATCGCCGCAGTGGGCGAAGCCGCAGTGGAGGCCTACCACGACCTGGGCGGGCCGTTCGAAGGGGAAGTCGGTGCCAGGGTCGACGAGTGGATCGAGGACAATCTGTGTGGCTATTTGGCGGAGAGCACCACCAAGCAGTACGCGGGCATCTACGGGAAGTGGCGAGCTTGGGCGCGTCGACAGGGATGGCCCACAGAGTACCTCGACAAGGCCCTCGCGGTGGAGGAGAACGAGAACAAGTTGCTGGGCTTCCTCGGCTACATGGGCTGGCTTGGGGCTTCTCCGGCGACTTTGAAGCAGGCCGTCTTTGCGATCAAGGATGGACACAAACGGGGGGGCCAGGGCGACCCTACAGACAGAATGTTTCGTCTGTGGATGCTCCTCGGCGCTCTTGACCGAAAAACGCCGAAAGCACCCAGGCGCTTGGGCGTGACACCTGAAATGATCAAGTGGATCACCGAGGCCTTTGAGACCAACCGGGACACGCCGGCGCAGGAGAAGTTCGACGCGATTATGCTCAAGGCGGCGGTGCTCATGGCCTGGTTCTTCATGCTGCGTGCCAAGGAGTACTGCGAGTCGAACGGCATCGACTACGGCATGATTCTGCGGGGCGCGGACATTAAGTTCCTCGACCAGGCGGGCGATGATGAGGCGAAGGGCATCACCATGCAGTTCAGGAAGACGAAGACCGACCAGGAGGCCTACGGGACGTGCAAGACGATGTACGAGTCGGGAGTGCCGGGCATCTGTGTGGTTCGAGCCCTCAACGACTACAAGAACCTTGCCCCCCAACGTTTCGGGAACGGCGCTGAGGCGCTTCAACCGCTGTTCCGGTGGTCCGGGGGGCAAGTTTTGAAGCGGACCCAGGTGCAGGATTTGCTGCAGCGAGCGGCAAAAGGCATCGGGCTTCCACCTGAGCGCTTCAGGTCGCACTCCTTGAGGATTGGTGGCGCCTCTGCTCTTTTCCAGGCCACCGGTGAGATCGAGTTGGTGAAGCGGACCGGGAGATGGTCGTCGTCGGCGGTTCAAAAGTACCTTCACGACGGTGTCACGGCCTTGAAGAGCGCCGCGGCAAAGATGGCTCGTGTTGAGCAGAAGATCCACTACACGTAAGGTGGGGTGCTGGGCATGTGCCATAGAAAGTTTTGGGAGCCTTCAGGCTACGTGTGCAGGCTGCTTCGGCTTTGAGCTTGCAAACTTTGTGGCAAGCTGCTTCGACTTCGAGCTTGCAGACTTTGGTGCAGTGACCGCAAAACGTGAGTGAGTTGCTGCGCCTTCTGTGCACTAAAAGTGGCAAGTTAGCGATAACTGTAGCTTTTTGGGCAGGAGAAGCTGCATGCGAACCCAGAGCCTTTTTGTGGCTTAGTGCGAGCCCACCCGCCCACTCCGGGTGCTGGGCATGTGCCATAGAAAG